ATTGAGATTTTCCTTTTTCTATTGAAGTTTTTTTTCCCTTGCATTCTATTTTAGTTTTATTTTTTTGCTTGCATTTGTCAAATTTTTTAAAAGCTCTAGCTTGCATTTGTCAATGATTTTTTGGCTTGCATTTTTTTAGTATAATCTTTTTCTTATTTTCTAGTGAGAAATCACAATTTATTACGCTAATGTTTGCCTTTTTCTCTTTTCTAAGTTGGGAAGGGCATTATGGTCGGGTAAAATATGTAACATTCAATTATAGGTCACATTCTCGAAACTTATACAATGGGTTATGAGTGCCAAGTTGAAGATTGAAAATAGTTGTGGGACTTGCATGAAATTTCATAAAGGGTTGGGGACCTACGTGCAGTGTTTCTAAAAATGTGGGTTGATGTGAAGCATAGTTTATACCTTGGGGATATGTAAAAAATATCATTTTAAATAGTATGAGTCAATACATACAAACTTTTACACTGAAATCTAAGCACAAGTTTCAAATGAAAAATAAAAATTTTAAGGGTTGCAAATATTATAAAAGGGTTCTCGTATGCATGTTTCTAATCATTTTTTTTTTGTCATTTGGAATCTTTATTCATTTAAGGATATATATACTTTAAATAACAAAATATCATGGATGAATAGAGGGAGAAGTGGATCTGAAAACCCTACCTATTGGGAGATTTTCCACAGCTCTTCGTTTATGTTTCACAGCACAAATCTAATATGCATTTGGGGTCTTCCTGCAGAGCCAGCCTCCAAAACTTCAGACTAAAAAAGATTTAGGGTTTCCTAAAATTCAATCAAGGTATTGAGAGGGTTTATTTATAAAATTTTTTAATGGGTTTTGTTATGCACTCTCTCATGTAGACTCCACCTACAATTGATAAATTATAAACTCCCTGTTAAAGAAATCTTAATTTTTATAATTATCTCATAAACATTTTATTTTTGCAAATTTTAACTGCTCACTTGATTATACTATTGTTTGCTTAACCATCTACTTTTAAGCCTTTTGGTTAGCTCTAATGTATTTGTTGAACATGCCTGCTCAACCCGAAGTTTTTACTGAATTGCCTTACTTTCCTCAAATGCAGGAAAAGACTAAGGAATTTAAGAATCACGAAAAGCATGACAATATCAAAGTTGAATCGTACATTCACAATGCTGAAAATCGACCTGCAAAGAAGCCCAAGTCTTCCAAACCTATTTAAGGTTAACTTTATCTTTCCTCTGTTTAGCTACTTTTTCTACTGTAAGCACTCTCTCAGGACCTGGTAAAAGTGCTGAAGTAGTTTCTTTGATTCTCTCTTTTGCATCTGTTAGGAGGCTTTGCCACTTTTTAAACAACAAATTAAAGAACATTGGCAAATATTAATCATAATTTTTTTATTGTAAGCTCCATTTCCTTATGCGTTGATTGATCTGCATAGAGAAGAATCTAGTTGTGAAATCCTTTTATTTTTCATCTATTTTATACTATGTAGCACCGATACTCCTATTTACGAGGCAAGTTGTATCGAACACGCGTCAGATACGGATGCGCCTCCGATACAACATTGATACGTGTTGGATATGGCTTTGTCGTGTCCAATTAAAATATTATTTAAATTTGACAGGACATGTATCGGATGTGCGTGTCCTATTAAAAAAACGAAAAAAAACAGAGCTGTAATTTTCCCTATTCATTTATGCGGCTTAAACATTTTCGCGAGCTAGGTTTTTCATTTCCGCACAGGCGTTTGTCTTCTTCGTTGTTGTCGAAGGAGCGGCTTGACGACGTGAGCATAGAAGAGGATCATCCATCGTCGACGAAGAGGCACGACGACGCGAGCATTAAAGCCAATAGGATCATCCTTCGTCCACAGAGCGGCTTGACAACCCGAGTAGTGAAGGTTCATTTTCTTCGTTTTCTTTATCGTAGGCTTGGTACCGGAGCTCAGTACTGCTCGGTACTGAAGCTCGATACCGAAACTCAGTACCGCTCGATACTGGTCGGTAACTCTCCGCAATGCTCAGTACCGCTCAGTACCGAGGGGTACCGAATGGTACCAAGCGACATCGAGAAGCTAGAGAAAGCTTTAAAATTACTCTTACAATAAAAAAAGTGTTCCGGCATATATGCGACATATCTACACTTTTACTTAAAAAAATTTCATGTTTCAACATTCATGTGGTTTAATTTGTGTCGATCTTTCGTAGGATAATGAGCTCTAGTGGCGTAGGAATTGGGTATGATAATGGTCCATCAGAGGCCAATATTGAAGATAACAAACTTCTGTGGTATGCGACAAAAATAAGTAAAACGTTAGAAGGGGGTGGCAATATTGCATTCAAATGCAATTACTGTAATGTCACATACAAATGATCATATTATAGAGTGAAAGCTCATTTGTTGAAGATTAGTGGTCATGGAATTAAAGTATGCCCGAAGATAACCTCATCACAAATGACTGAATTACAAAGGAAAATCAGTGAAGCTGAGCAAATGAGTTAAAAAGAGCTTCCAAAATAGATTCCATTTTCAAGCACCCATGCTTCATATCCTTCATCATCTTCTTCAATTAGAAGTGATGAGAGTACTGTAAACAATTGACTTTTTCGGATGGAGGGATGAACCAAAAAGAAGAAAACATGTTGTAGATTGTGCTTTGGAGAAAACATTTAATTTACAAATGAGAGAACAGTTAGATGGGGAAATAACTAGATTGTTTTACTTAGCTGGACTTCCTTTTAACCTAGCAAGGAATCCACATTACAAGAATGCTTTTACGTATGCATGCAATAATAATCTTGCAGGATATAATATCATTAGAATGAAGTTGTTGCAAAGTGAGAGGGATAATATTGAGAAGTTGCTCGAGCCTACTAGAGTTTGGAAGGAAAAAGAAGTTACTTTGGTTTGTGATGGGTGAACAAATCCACAAAGAAGATCATTTATCAACTTAACAGTTGTAACAGAGAACTATCCTATGTTTATCAAAGTTGTAAACTATTGTCACACCTCATTGACTCAACCTCTACCTCTAACATGCAAATTGGAGTATAACAGAGAAGGATTTCAACATTTCAAACTTCACACTTAATAATAGGAAGCATGTATATATCTTACTGAACATCAACATAATTAAAACAAATACAGAGCTCTACTAAAACTTTTGAACCTTACTTACATATCAAAAAGTTTATATAGCTATTCTTCAGATCTCTATAAGATCTCTTTGTACATCAAAACATATTTACATCAAAAATAGACGATCACCTTTTCTCGCCTAGTGCTCTACAGGCTTCTTTCCCTTACCTGCAGTATAACCACTGCTAATGAGCTAGGGCTCAATGAAATACACCAACAATGTAAAAGAAATAATGATAACATTGTTTAATAATTTAGAAATTCATAACATAGGTAGAATATATTGAAATTTCATACTGATAGTAAGAAATGTGTAGCATTGTTTTCCCTTTTTAACTGTCTAATTAACAGCTTCAAACAAGTCATATGATGTCTATAAGCTTGTGCACCCTTTTTAGTCTTTCAATTCAATGTTGGGTCTAAATTCCTAACTTTTAGAATTAAAATTGCTCTCATTCAAGGTTGGTCTAAATTCTCAACTTTTAGAATGAGAGAGTATAGGCTTACCTCGTCAGGTCTTTCGCCCTTACTGGTGCCGGCTTATCCCCCAACGTATGACTTAAAAGCACTTATACTCTCCTTCATTTCAGATACATTTCTTTTTATAACTATTTCCAACAATTATATAAATTGGAATCAACTACAAATAATTCGCATATGAAGCAAATGAGCTATTTGAAATACATGCCATCATGGGAAAAGAACTGCTATTATAAACAAGATAAATATCAATTTGCAATTATATAAACTTTTTATTATTTCTATGTATTGTTGGGTATCTCACCTCGCTTGGAATTTGTTTTTCTAGGTTCTGTTTTCTTTTCTACTTACACACCACTTCGATCGTACTCTCCTTCATTCCATTCAAAATCCCTTTTCCTTCTTAAGTTGTTCTACCTGATTTCAGTTTATAGTTAATAATAGCTGAGAGTAGAGATTCACAACAACATCTACTACATTCTCTTGATAAAATTCAATAGGATACAGCTCCAACTTGCTGTTTTCAGCAACTACAGCTGTCTTACATACAATTTTCACCCTTACAAACTTGCTGTTTTCTGCAGTTCAACAACTACAGCAGTCTACTGCTCCAAATTTGCTATTTTCAGCAAATATGGCAGCCTTACAAATAGTTTTCAACTGTTTTTCAGCAACTGCAGTATTACCTAATTCTAGTAAACCACATCTCGTTTCAAAGAAAAATCACTAAATTATGTTGTTATACAATTCATTCCTACCATTACTACACTTCTTTCCTAACTCAGAAATCTACTAACCTGAAATTCAGAAATAAACAAGTAAAGACTGCATTTGCATGCTTGAGCTCGCCTCCTTCCACCTAAATGTCACCGGCACAGTCCGGCTCCTTGAATGCCAGAGTAAGCTAATGAGGAAATAAAGTTGAGTAGTGCTCTAGCTTCTTATCTACTTAACTAATATTTTATTCCCACTATTTATTCCACTATCCTTTCAACTAACTTTACAGCCACATGATTTTCCATCAAAGCTTTCATGCATAGATAAGTGGAAATTTCTGCCTGCTACTGTAAATAAAAAAATCATTACCTTTTACAGATTAAGTACATAAATTAATTTAACTAATACCTAATAGTTAAATAATTGTAATTAATACAATTATACATCGATAATTTAAAAATGATGGAGAAAAAGAAAATAATGAGAATTAATGAAACTAAATGAACATTTAGAGGAAGCTTATACTTACATATCTTTTAAACATTTTTGGGTATTATAAATCACCTCTCCTTATTTAAATTTCTTCCTCGAAATTCTTTTAGTCATCAAACAAATGGGGAAACTTCATTCTAATATCTTCTTCCCTCTCCCAGGTTGCCTCTTTTTCTGGCTTTTATTTCCATTTTACTTTAACATAAGGAATCTGGCGATTTCTGAACTGTTTACTATCAAAATCTAGTATTCTTTCTGGTTCTTCCGTATAAGTCGGATTCTTCTGTAGCTCAATATCTTCATGTGAGATTCGTTGATGGGTATCTGTAACCCATTTTCTTAGCAGTGACACATGAAAAACGTTATGTATATCTGACATGTCAGCTGGAAGAGCAAGTCTATAAGCAACTTTTTCAATTCTTTCAACAATTTCAAAAGGTCCAATAAATCTAGGACTCAATTTGCCTCCCTTACCAAATCTAGTTGTACCCTTCATAGGTTTAACCTTCAAGAATACAAAGGCACCCACATCAAACTCTACTCCTCTATGCTTGGGGTCATAATACTTTTGCTGGCGGTCCTGAACATCTTTTAATCTATCTCTAATTAATCTGATTTTCTCTGCTGCTTCCTCCACCAGTTCTGAGCCCATTACCTGTCTTTCTCCTACCTCAACCCAAGTTAAGGGGGTTATGCACTTTCTACCATAAAGTGCTTCATATGGTGCCATTTGTATACTGGATTGGTAACTATTGTTGTAGGCAAATTCTATCAATGGTATGTGATCTTCCCAACTACCTTTGAAATCCAAAACACATAGTCTCAATAGGTTTTCCAATACCTGAATGATTCTTTCAGATTGACCATCAGTCTGAGGATAAAAAGCTATACTGAAATGTAGATTTGTACTCGAGCTTTCTTGAATATTCTTCCACAGCCTCAAGGTAAATCGACCATCTCTATCTGAGACAATGACTTTTGGAATACCATGTAATCTGATAATTTCTTTTACATATAGACATGCCAATTTGTCTACTGAATCAGTTTGCTTGATAGGTAAAAAGTGAGCTGATTTTGTCAGTCAATTTATAATTACCTAAATACTGTCATATCCCTGTATGGATCTGGGAAATCCCATCACAAAATCCATTGCAATTTCTTCCCACTTCCACTCAGGGATCGGTAGTGATTGCAGTAATCCACTAGGTCGTTGATGTTCAACTTTCACCAGTTGACACGCTTCACATTTAGCTACATATATATCAACATCTTTCTTCATACTTGGCCACCAGAATATTACTTTCAAGTCTTTATACATCTTGGTACTGCCTGGATGAATTATATAGCCATAATGATGAGCTTCTTGCAAAATTTCTCTTCTCAACTCCTAATCATTGGGTCCCACAATTGGGATTTATGCCTAATGATTCCATCAACATTAATAGAAAGATCGGGTCTTTTCTCTGACTGGATCTGCTCTATCAATATTGAAGATTCACTATTAAGCTCTCGAGCTTCTTTGATACGATCTGTTAAAGTGGGATTTACGGTCATCTGATACAAATATTCTACATTTTCAAAGTCTCTAATCTCCAATTGCAAATTTTTCATTTCCTTGATCAATTGAACCTCCTGAGTAATCATCCAATTTATCATTCCTGTAGACTTTCGACTTAAAGCATCAACCACAATTTTAGCTTTTCTTGGACAATACTGAATATCCAAATCATAATCTTTGATGAGTTCTAACCATCTTCTTTGTCTTAAGTTTCAACTGTCGAGATGCATAAGCAATTACCTTTCTATTATGCATTAGAACACATCCCAAGCCCTTCAAAGATGCATCACTGTAAATCTTAAATCCTTCTGTTCCTGAGGGAAGTGTCAAAACTGGGGCTGTCGTCAGATGCTCTTTCAATGCTTGAAAACTTTTCTCACGTTCCATTGTCCATTCAAATTTTAAGTCCTTCCTCATTAGTTTGGATAAAGGCATAGCAATCTGTGAAAATCCTTTGACAAACCTTCTGTAATATCCTGCTAGTCCAAGAAAACTACGAACCTCTGTAATATTCTTTGGTGTTGGCCATTCCATAATTGCTTTTACTTTCTGAGGGTTTACAGAAATTCCTTCACCACTGATAATATGCCCCAAGAAAGAAATACTTAGCCAAAATTCACATTTTGAATATTTTGCATACAATCTGTTTTTCCTTAGTGTCTCCAAAACTATTCTTAATGTTCAGCATGCTCTTTGTCAGTCTTGGAGTATATCAGAATGTCGTCAATAAAAATAATCACAAACTTATCTATATAGTCTTTGAAAATCCGATTCATCATATCCATAAAGATGGCAGGAGCATTTGTCAACCCAAAAGGCATAACTCTAAACTCAAAGTGACCATACCTGGTCCCAAAAGCTGTCTTACTGACATCTGCTTCTTTAACCCCTCACTTGATGATATCCTGATCTTAAATCAATTCTGAAAAATACAGTGGCACCGGCCAACTGATCAAATAAGTCATCTATGCGGGGTAGTGGATATTTGTTCTTGATTGTCACTTTGTTCAGCTCTCTATAGTCAATGCACATTCTCATGGATCCATCTTTCTTCTTAACAAAAAGTACAGGTGCACTCCAAGGGGAATGACTAGCCCTGATAAATCCTTTATCCATCAATTCATGTAACTGAGTTTTTAGCTCCTGCAATTCTTTTGAGGCCATCCTATAAGGAGATTTGTAAATTGCTGATGTTCCTAGTTGTAATTCTATACCAAATTCAACTTCTCTTTCAGGTGGTAATCCCAGTAGGTCTTCAGGAAATACATTTGAAAATTCAGAGACAACTGGAATATTCTGTAAAGCTTGAACATCTTTATTTAAGACCTCCATTTTGGCCAATAATACTAACTCACCCCTCCTTAAATATTTACCCATCTTTAATGCACTCACAAGAGAGGAAGTTGCATTCTTCTCACCGGGGAAATAAAAGGCCTTCACATTTGGTAAATTAAATTTTATTCTTTTCTTCCAGCATTCGATTGTAGCGAAATGTTTAACTAACCAATTCATTCCCAAGATGATATCAAACATTTTAATAGGCACTATAATCAATTCTGTTGGAAATTTGTAACCCTGAATATCCAAATTTATAAGGCACATCCTATTAGCCGGCAAACTATCCCCCGTTGGCATCTTAACAGATAAGGTAGGCGTAAAACATGCAGTCTCAACAGATAAATCAAAGCAGAATTCTTCAGAAATAAATGAATGGGATGCACCAAAATCAAAAAGAACTCTGCCAAACTTATTAGCAATCAAAAGTATACCTGTCACCACCTCCTCTGAATCTTTAGCCTATTGGGGTGTAATAGCAAACACTCTAGCCTTCACAGGTTGATTGCCTTTAATAACTGATGCTTCTCCTTTAAGCTGAACTGGTGGTCTTCCTTGTAATGTTGACTTTCCTTGAAATTGAGTTTTTCCTATATGATTGCCTTCCAGATATCTCTTATGTTGTGTCTGTTCATGATATCCTTGATATCCCTGTGGCCTGACATTGAGTCTTCTTT